AATTAGTATTATCAAAGAAGAAAGTAAATTATTAGTGTAAGTAAATTATTAGTATTAAATAAAAAAGTATGAAGTTAGTGAAGAAAGCAAGTTAGTAACATTAAAATGTAAAAAGTTAGGAAAATAAAAAGATAAAGAACACAAGTTTTTCTTACCTAATATTTTAAAAGAAAGTTGAAGAAAAGTTAAAAGGTTAAAAAAACATAAACAAAAACATTTCGCGTCATCATATTTATTTTGACGATCAGATCACGTGATAGTTGATTTTTACCGCATAATTCTGGCCAAATTATAATTCCAGTCAGAACTAATTGTGTAACCTAATAAAAAGTTTTTAACTTTTTTTTAGTTACAAGATGATACAAAAATTTCACCAATGGTGCCCTTTTATAAGCAAATATGCAGTTGAATTTTGTGTAACCTTACTGCATAAATAACTTTACTTAGGAAAATCTATTTGTAATGGTTAAAAGTGGTCTATTTGACCCTAAAAGTGGTCAAATGTAACCAGATGGAGTAGGATTACCCAAAAATTGCTTTCCGTATCCTAAATTTAAGTCTATTTTCAAGTTGTACAATAATCACAATTTTTATTGTACAAAAATTGAATGCTTTCTGTATCCTAAATTTAAGTTGTATAAAGATCACACAAAAATTGAACATTTTCTATATCCTAAATTTAAGTTGTACAAAAATTGCATACTNTTGTATAAAGATCACACAAAAATTGAACATTTTCTATATCCTAAATTTAAGTTGTACAAAAATTGCATACTTTTAATATGCTTTGAAAAACTTCATAGCTATTTTTATCCAAAAATCTGCAATAATTGTATAATTTTCACACTGACTTGAACAAATATTGTACAAAAATTGGATGATTTTTTTTCATAGGGCAGATGATAAACAAGTCATAGACCAATCAACAATGGCAAAACCTGATACAAAAACTCATCTAAACCTGAGGCCACTCAGTTACTGACAGGATACAAAGCTGTTGGAGAGGAGCAACACATTTGATATCAGAAAATTAGCTTCTGTCTCTAACTTCAAAACTAATTTTGACATAATACAAGTTTTTAATTAATATACTTTAAAAAATGATATAGTTGATGTTATTATAATTTTATTACAGCAAATTACAAAATTGTAAGACCACCCTATGATTTTTAATTTGAAAATTTGATATTTTGAATTTTTTCAAGAATTAGTAAAAAAGCAAGTTTAAATATTTATTTTGTAATAACTGTAACTCCTTAAAATTAATATAAATTTTAAAGTAATTTATTTATATTGAATCATATGATATATTTCTATTTTTATTTAAGGAGTTAAATAAACAGGTTTTTAACTTGATTTTTTACTAGTTTTTGAAAAATTCAAAATATCAAATTTTCAAATTAAAAAATCATAGGGTGGTCTTACAATTTTGCAATCTGCTGCAATAGAATTAATAGCATATATAATTTTATTAATAGAATTTATTATTAATTTATTTTATCGTTTATTTTAATTAGGTGAAAATGATATTAAAAGGTTAATAATCAGATGATTCAATAAAGAGCCTTTTTTTCTTATGTTCAATCTTTAAATTATCAATTAAACATTTAAATCTATACCTAATTTTCAGGGAAGAAGAATCAGAATCCAGTCTTCCTCGATCTAAATCACACCACTCCTACTCAAAATCATGATGCTACTCCCATTCCAAATCATGCCGCTCCTCACAGCACTCTCGTTCCAAATCATGTCAATCTTGCTACAAACCACGCTGCTCTCAATCCAAATCACGTCACTCTAAATCTCGTTCTTATCAATCCAAATATTCTCCATCTCATTCTCTTTCTCCTGCCCGTCAATATCAGTCACATCATCATTACAATTCATCCCGATATTCTCCATCTTATTCTTATCAACATCGGTCGCATCATCATTACGATTCATCCCAATATTCTCCATCTCATTCTCTTTCCCCTGCCTGTCAATATCAGTCACATCATCATTATGATTCATCCCAACATTCTCCATCTCGTTCTCTTTTCTCTGCCTGTCAACATCAGTTACATCATCATTACAATTCGGAAGATCAACAATCTCCAAATAGAGGTAGATCTTTAACTAAAAGTAAATTATCTAATTAGGCCCATTATAGTTAACGAGTTTTTTTAAAAATAAAGTTACATTTTTGATTAATATAAACGAAGAACAATACCTATCATCTATTATGTAAATTAAGAATAACCATTACATAAATACCACCTTACTTTTACATATAATGACCTTTTTACACAAATATTTTTTGGGTATTTTTAGATCTACTTCTCTTATAAATAAAAAAATGCCACATTTTGTAGTACATGTAGAAAAAGCACGAAAAATTGTGATAAGTTCAAGAATAATGAAAGTTGATATTAAATCAAAAACTTTCAATGATATTTTTGAACAGCTTACTACCGGGAAGTTTTATCTGCGTCAGGTTAAGCATTTTGGACGTTCATTCAAGATGGGTTAAAAGATGAACTTTCTTTAATGTTTACATTTGCATATACACATATCAAGTTCGTAACACAAGCTGAAGAAGAATTACCAATTGATAACACTTCAACTTTGGCAGCTGCAGCCCATTTTAATGCATTTAACCGAATTATGCAAAGCTCTGCACAGCAGCCTTCTTTACCATCATTAAAAACGAAAGATAATCAAAATAATTTGCTATTTAATGATATTATACGATTATTGCAACAAAGAAAAGTCAAATGGAATAGCAATCTGTATGAAACTGCAGGCAAAAAATTTATTGAGCGACTGGCAGCATTAATTTGGTATATCAATCCACATTTGGATAAGTTTTGTGCTCGTTCACTTCATCTTCCAGTTTTATTTCAAGAACTCTCATTATACAAACAAAATACCACTTATAACCAATTCTATCATCACGGTAAACACAAAAAAGAAAAATTGTCACATGCCAAACTGGAAGAACTTGTCCAATCATTATCAATTTCAGTAACACAACCTTGGGCTTGCAGTAAAGTTTGGGAACCAATTATTCAGGAGGTATTAGAATTAATTCAAGTTGTCAAAAAATATTCACATTATCTTAATATAAGCAAATGAGCAGATGCAAGAAATTCATCACAGTGATGTTCCAGCTCGAGATTTAACTGTCTATACAATTAATAGTACCATGCATATGGAAAATTTTTAAGAAGTAAAGAAGATTATGAATATGTTAATTTAGAATCTTTTCTTCCAGATGATGTTTTCAAAAGACATACTGATATACATATATTAAAGATTTGCAATTTGATGTAGCAGTAACAATTTATCAGTATCACCAAGGCAACTATCTTGGAACATTAAACTATATTTGGAAAGTTCCTTCTTGTTTTAATAACCGAGATGAAACTAAATTAGTGCAAATAATGGCTAGCTTACAAAAGCTTTTACCTAAATTTACACATAACAAATGCGAAAAAATGCTCTTCATAAGGTAATTTTTTTATAATTTTCATATTTTTACATTAATATTAAAAATACCAATTTTAATTAACAAAATCAAATTATAGTATTCCCTCATTAAACAAGTTACTCCAGCAGTTTTATGTACTCTTTATTATGATCTTACCAGTGATGCAGCAGTTACGAATGATGTAATTAGTAAAGAGATTGAAAACCATTTGCATATTATGCTAGCCTTAGAGGACCCGTCTATTATAGTTAATCTTCGCATTTAAAGGATCCACATTTGATGCATTTTGGGATGAAATGGCTGGTTTTTTCAATGAGGTAAGATAAATTTAATTTTATTTGTCTTATTTTTCATATTTACCAATTCTAATCTGCATTTTTTATTTAATTTACTAAAATTTAACTTAGAAAATACTTGCAGTTGATGATCATCATCACCATGATATTTTGTATATGCCTTTGGCTATGTCAGTTCAGCATCTTCATGATATTATAATCAAACGTTTGCAAAACAAATTTTCTACTCCACTTCCTAATGAAATTCAAATTCCCTGTGAAGAATGGATTGGATTACAATTTTCTCCTACTAATCCCATTGCAGCTAGTGCAATCCATTATACTGGTCGATTCAATGTCAAATTTCAAATTCAAACACGTCTTCTTCGGAAAGAACATCCTGATTCTCATTATTGTGCATGTTTGTTCCACTATTTGCGGGAATTTGCCATTCTTTTTCGAAACTATGTTTGCTTAATTTGTGCAGATGACAAACACAAGGTTCCTATTGGTGAGGGAGTAGCTACTTCTACTGGAGTTCGTAACAAAAAATCCATGGTTCTAAAAGAAGCTAATTTGGTTGCATGTGATTACGATTTCACTAAATTATCATTGACTCCTTCTGTTATTTTTATTTGCAAAGTTCCCTTAAGTATTGAAGAGTCATTTTATGATGGACAAGTTTTCGTCTCTTATAAAGACACTATATTTCAACCCAGTACTGTTATCCGACATACAACAGAATTTTTTAATGTAATTTCTGCTTATTATCCACAAACAATTCCTCCCATTCTTTGCATTTATACTGATGGTGGTCCCGACCATCGAGTGACCTATGGATCAGTCCAAATTTCTTTAATTTGTTTATTTCTTTGTGAGGATTTTGACATGTTAATTGCTCTTCGTACAGCACTCCACCAAAGTTGGACAAATCCTGCTGAAAGAATTATGTCAATATTAAATTTGGCCTTACAGGGAGTAGCTTTAATGTGAGAAACAATGTCATCATTTACATAATGAACAATTTATTTGTTATGATCCAACTCAAGAATTTGCCATTACAGAATTTTTCAATGTAAGTATTTATAGCGAAAATATTTATGATTTTTAAATCAATACTTTATATTAATGTCTTTTTTAATTAGACAATTTTAATGATTGATCAAACATTAAAAATATCAGAAACTACCGCTGATATTCTTTCTAAGAAAAATCTATTCCAAAATTTTATAAGAACTCATTGCAGGATATGCCATTATTATTTTCAGGTCCTATAAAAAATATTTTTGATTAATCTATAATACACTATTAAATACTGAATTTTAATTTTATTTTATTACAGATAAAAAAATGCAATGATATATCTTGTACTCTATGTAAGCCAATCCGTCTTCCTCATGATATTTTTGAAAAACTGGGAAATTTTTCTGATTCTATGCTATCAAAAAGTAATTCAGTAATTGTCATAATTGTCATATCAAATATAAACAATATGTAAAATGACATTAATATTATTTTATAATATTAATATAGAAAATGATGACCATTATGCTGCTTTCAATTCTGTTCACAATACTGAAACAAGTGAACGTCACAGACCATCTTTGGTGATAGCTTTGGAATCTGCTGAGCATGTCCCTAAGGGTCTTCTCATCAATACAAAAGTCCGAATCTATATAGAATGTTTTCAATGTGGAAAGTTACAATGCATTTATAGTGAACGGGCATTAACATCTGATGAGAAACAAGAATTTGGATTAATTGAAAATGAAATGAATTATACTTGTGGCGAAGTCTAATAAGAACTCTTTCTCCTTTTCATTTTTACTTAAAATTTTTTCACTTTATTTAAAATTTTTTACATAAAATAAAAATGTCAAACATAGGAGACTTGGGTAGAATAAATCCTAATAATGCAGAAGACTTTTTAAAGTTTATCTTGTATAATGGATACCAATATTTACATGAAGTGACCGCAGAGCTCGGCTTGTTTGTAGAAAATGGTTTCCTTAAAACTTTATTTGATAAGAGTCCACAGGCTATGAACAAAGCTCAGCTTCTAGTAGATACGTTTGGCAAGAGTGCCAACCCAAATAACTTTTCTATACAGGCGCAGGCGATGAATATAGTCTAGGGTGTCCAGGATAGAACGATCACACCTTTTTCACACTTTTTGTTATTTTTTTACACTTTTGGTGTGGCCGCATTTTTTGGCAAAGTTTTACATTTTTCACACTATCCACAGTAAATTGAGTTTTATTGGTCGATTTATGATCACATGATTGGTTTTTATTTATCAAATTTTAAGATAGTGAATTTGAAGTTAAAATTATTATGTTAATTCCAGCCGAAATTACGCTAAATCTGGCCAGAATTAAAAATCGCACCAAACCACATTTTTTGTTTAAATCACACCACACTTTTCGGGCCATCACACCATGAAATCCTGGACACTCTAGAATATACAATCTACCACCCTTTTACTAATATTTTCTATAGCGCTTTACGCTTCGTTCAAGTCGTGAGATAAATTTGCTACCCGCTCCTATACTTTATATGGTGATATGGGTGATAACACAGAATCGGAATGTCACTCTGCCGATGATGAATTGTTTACATCTACTAGCTCATCTTGAAACGCCTCCAATACTGCCTGATGTGGAAATGACCCTGTCGATCAAACTGATACCCGAAACTTCCCAGAAGAAAGGTAATCAAGAACCAATCAACAACAACAAATCCTGATGTACAAATATCAGCCAAAAAACCCCATAGGGGAAGAATTTACCCGTACTCGAGGCCACTCAAATACAAAGAAGCTGATGACTAGCGAGAGCAGGTCAGAGACATTATTGTATATGACATTCCGTATACCTGGGACGTTAAGAAAATCTTAGGAGAATTAACGTTATGGGTCATACTATTAAGCTGTCAGTAAAACGGCAGCACAAATATCAGACTCTTAGAGTCAAAATAGGTTTGAACTCATTTACCCTTCCCCAATTCAACAAGTTTTGGATGACTGACCTGGGAGGTATACCGGTGAGATGGTTTCCCGCAAGTTGGACTTTACGAGAAAGAAAACAACGTGAAAAGTTCCAANACAAGTTTTGGATGACTGACCTGGGAGGTATACCGGTGAGATGGTTTCCCGCAAGTTGGACTTTACGAGAAAGAAAACAACGTGAAAAGTTCCAAGCTGTTATTCATGACATTCCGGAAGAATGACGATGGCAACCACAATTATTTTTACAGATGTGTATACAAACAAGCAAAGGAAAGAGGAAACTTGTAGGCTATTTTGAGAATTGGGAGACCACACTCAAGGCCTTAGATACGCCTCAAGTTTTCCTTAATGATAAGGAGTTGTGATGGTGTCAACACTCTGTTCCTAACTTGAAAAAACAGCACAAGCCGAAGGCTCAAAATACTCTAAACAAGAAGTCTGGAAATACTGGACACAGTTCGAACAGTAATCAGCCTAAGAAGAAGGATAAGAAATCCTCGATCAAGACTGCTAAAGATGATATGTTAACACTGAGATTTTAGCAGAAGTTTTGGACATATTACGTAAATTAAATTAGTTTAAATTCCTATACTAGTATTAGATAGTTATTTTTCTAATTAGAATATAGCGCATTTTTAGCAGCAGAATTTTTTTCACTTTTTATTCTACTCTATAAGCCCTTGACTTTAGAGGGGGCTTGCCCCATTCTTCCTTATTTTTACCCAGTTCATTTGGATTTGTCTAGACAGTGAAGTTTCACCTAGGTCAAGCCTTTTTCTTTATCAAAGGGTGAGGTCTGGTGGTATGGGAATTTAGTTCCCAGCGCTGGATGAATTTTCCTATTCTAGACACAGTTTTTAGCTTAAATGTATTACGATATATGCCAGTTATTATTTGTACTAGATAGGTTATACTACTCTTGGCGGAATAAAATAAAAATTATACTTGTGGCTCTTCATTGGTTTCAGAAGACCATATTTTATACAACAAATTATTTGTCTGTGAGAAGATTACTTGTGAATTGCCTATTGAATTGACCTATTATTCTTCAATGTCTTGCAGGCAAGGTTTAAACCAATTATGCTATTGGTGTGGAGTTGATGGTGGTTTTGCAGATCCTCCAGAAAATCTGGTAGCAAAATATAAATTTGTTTTTCCATGTTGTATTTGGTGCCTGGAGAATGGAAAAAATCATTTTTGTCAGGTTGATATGAAATTAAAACTAATAAAAAGAAAAGAGGTGGAAGTAACGATGTTCAATCTAACAATGAAAAGAAAAGAATGTAAAATATGTAGTTTAGTATTAATTTGTAAGAAATAAATTTATTTATTTATTTTATGTGAAGCTGGTAGGGGCTATACAGCAAGAGCATGATTCCTAAGTAATAAAACCTAAGTAATACAACCCGACTTGAGCCTACCATCGATTTCTGGAGAAGCCAAAAGCCAACCCGAGCTACTTGAAAAAAAAGACCTGTACCACTACCATGTCCGGTAAAAGGTCCAGGCAAACACACTGGGTAAAAATAAGGAGGGGGAAAAAAGTGGAGAGGACAAGTCCCCTTTCCAAGAAGTTGTGGTGCTAAACATAAATCTATTCTATCCTAAAAAATAATACAATTCTGAAATTTGTAAAACCGCTAATAAAAGCGTAGGCTAAACTAGTTTCTGTAATAAAGTTAAAATCTCTGCTAAAACCGCCTTGTTATCTTTATTACCACCCTTTTTCTTCGAGGTATTCTTTGCCTTCTTCTGATTCTTCGGGTGTTTCTCCTCCTGGTTATTATTTTTTGGGACTTTCTTCGAG